TTGCAAACTACATCATTTTGCAGGAGCAGTCACCGGCCATCCTGTGATTTAGTTAGCAGCACTTCTCTATGTGCACACGCAGCCCTGTCTCTCAGAGGTGATGGGGGTGGCTGAGAGAGGATGAAGTTTCTGTCATTTTTGTTCACCGAGGATCGCATCCCCTGTCATCCCCCCACCAATAGCCTACTGCATATGGTGATACTGCATGTCCCTGTGTGTGTGTGTGTTTAGGTGAACTCGGCTGGGAGCTGTACATTGACCAGAAGAACATGGCAGTTGTGTATCAGGCGATGATGGAAGCAGGAAAAGACGAAGGCATCGACAACTTCGGCACTTACGCCATGTCCTCCCTCAGATTGGAGAAAGGCTTCAGGGGCTGGGGAGCTGAGGTACACACACACACACACACACACACAAACAGACACAGACACACACAGAGACACACACACCTAGACATTTTGAGTGGTCATTTGCTAACTTGTTGATCTTTTCAGATGAACTGTGATACCAATCCTCTGGAGGCTGGGTTGGATTATTTCATCAAACTGAACAAGGTAACCATCTGTCTTGCTTTTTAGTTGTGTGTGACGTCAGGGTTAGAGATGCTGTTTGCTCTGGCCTCCCACCATTATGGTCCAGACTAAAATACTGTAAATCAACTTTTTGGTTGAAGTCCTCGGGGATTCTCCACGATTACAGAACTATAATAGAAATGCCATAATATTAGGCCATGTTTGGAGGGGAGAGAGGAGATGAAAAATATTACCAAATACATACTAAATAAATGACAAGATTCTATCAGTCTCTGTAGCATCAGAAATGTTAATGGTTACTTGTCAGTTTTTCAAGATCTGACTTTTATTTGTTGGGAAAGTTTTGCGTCTCTTTTGGGATTTGAGCATGGCTGTAGACTCTTTGACCGTGTTCACACCTGGTATTAACATCCATCCTGACTGATCCAAACACAAGTGGACATCTGTAGATGAATATGTGGACATGATCCAACACATCTGTATACTCCAACCGAGGAAAAACAATTTACATCAGTCTGTATACGCCAACTGGGTACAAACAACATACTTTAGTCTTCGTGAACGCACGTGTTTATTTGTATATATAGCAGGGATATATATACTCTTTGTATATATATACATTTGCTTTCTGTAATGTTAAATGCTATTGTTTTAATTTGCCTGTTGCCTTTAATGTTTTGTATTCTTGTTGTTGAGCACTTTGTAATGACTGCTTTGAGAGATACTATACAAATATGATTATTATACTTATTTATGATTATTCGTATTTTAATTCAATGTGAACTGTTTGTGTCTGTGCGTGTCCAGCCTGCTGACTTCATTGGCAAAGCAGCTCTTCAGGAAATTAAAGCCAAAGGCCTGAAGAGGAAGTTGTCCTACATCACACTGGACACGGATAATATCGACCCCGAGGGCAACGAGACCGTCTGGTACAACGGCAAGGTTAGCAACAGCAGCAGTGACCAGCCTCTTGAAGTCTTCTGCTGAACACTTCCTGTAGCATGTGGCTAGTTTGAGGTTGCGGTCACTCAGCCCTTGTCCCTTGTGTTTCTCATCAGGTGGTCGGCAACACGACGTCCGGCGCCTACAGCTACAGCAGCCAGCAGAGCCTGGCGTTCGCTTACTTGCCTCTGGAGCTGTGCTCTGTGGGCCAGAATGTGGAGGTGGAACTGCTGGGGAGGAAATACCCCGCCATGGTCATCCAGGAGCCGTTAGTCCTCACCGAGCCCACACGGACCCGGCTGCAGAAGAAAGCAAAGGGCAAAGCATAAGCATGGACTGTCCTCAAATAAGTCTGTCAGCAGCTACAGATGAACGATCACACTGTGAATTATAAATGAGAGTCTGAGATGATGTGAAAAGATGTTGCGGAGGAATCACGTGCAATCCATGTACTGATATGTTTGCATTCAGAATTCAGTGGCATCTTCAGGAGGCACAGTCACATCATTGACTAGTTCCTCTTCCTGTCCTCCTTCCTGTTGATCAAGTGAGAAATGCTTAGTCATCTTTAGAGTGTGTTTCTGAGAGAGAACAACTGTTGATGAATGCAATAGCACCACAGTGTCTTAAAATGCGGGAGGAGCAATTTACTTTTTTTAATTGAATGAATAGATGTTGATTTTTTGCAAAGAGCAGAACAAAAGAAAGGGTCAAATAAAATCAGCTTTTTGTGTTAATTTCAAAGTCCCAAATGATGCAGCTGCAGTTTTCATGGTCATGAGAACACTCTGGGACCATGACGAAGAATAACAACATGTGAAGAAAAGCTGTTTTAAACACCAACAACAAAAAGAAACAGAATGTTTGCAAACTTGTACAAAGATTGTTTTATAAATCTGTTTTTTTTACTTGTATTTAATTAAATTGGTGTACATCGATACCTTTATAATTAAAGCAATGCACTCTGCCTTGTCATGAGGTTTCTCCTTGTGTGAAATCGTCAAACAAATTGAACAAATCAACACCAAAAATCAATTAAAAGCAAAACCACATGAAGAAAACTCTAATAGTAAAAAAAACTAACAAACAGATAATTAACTACACCGAATGAAAACCATCCCAGTGGGTTTGTTGTATATGCCACAATGAGGCAGTGCTTACTTTGTAATATTGTAATAATGCCTTGTGAACATGCACAGACTCTGCCTCAACATGCATAACGTAAACATGTTTATGGATGTTTGAATGGGACACTGTCGCAGAAAGCTGTGGAGCAAAACAGGTGTAATTTATATTATTATGAGTAGGGTGGGACATTTTTCAGATTATTATAATACTCAACGCAAAATCAAACTTGACTGGGTCACTGTGGTCAAGGTAAGTGATAGAAAACATTGCTGCAGACAGGGAGACCCCAGCTCAATACTGACCCTGCTCTAATAGCTTTGTGCATGTGCAGTTAGTCCGTGCCTTGTTGAGTTATAGTGTGCACACATGTAACTTTGCAAAGATTGCTTGTTAGGACTTATGCGTTAACTTACATTCATTATGGACCTAATCAAAACCTCATCCCTTAACTTAAACCTAATTTACATCATACCACACACACACACACACACACACAC